AGTGACTCTAGAGTCAGATTCAGCTAGCTATTCTGTGACACTGGAAACATACTTAGATAGTGACTCTAGAGTCAGATTCAACTAGATAATCTGTGACACTGAAAACATACTTAGAAAGTGACTCTAGAGTCAGATTCAACTAGCTAATCTGTGACACTGAGAACATACTTAGAAAGTGACTTTAGAGTCAGATTCAACCAGCTATTCTGTGACACTGAGAACATACTTAGAAAGTGACTCTAGAGTCAGATTCAACTAGCTAATCTGTGACACTGAGAACATACTTAGAAAGTGACTTTAGAGTCAGATTCAACCAGCTATTCTGTGACACTGAGAACATACTTAGAAAGTGACTCTAGAGTCAGATTCAGCTAGCTATTCTGTGACACTGAGAACATACTTACTGAAGAGTGAGAGGGTGTAGTATTTATTTGTAGACAATTTCATAAGAAAAGAATAATTTGAATGTAATAAGTAAATGAAGTACGATTTAATGTAATAACAGGATTAGAAACTTGTTGTAGACTGAATATCTTACCTGTGAATAAGTACAGTATTCTTCATATTTACGTTATGTTTTTTTCACAGAGATGCGAAATGAGCGTAGAAAAAAAAAAGCTTTCACTGACACAGAAACTGGGTACCACTGTTATATTGCTTTAAAAATCACTATTATTTACACAAATTAGTACCATCTACCGAGTTTCATTTCAAACACAAAGTTTAATAAGTAGTTCAAACCGAGCTTTACACTGCATTCTGCCACGTCTAACTGAAAGAATCCCAACTTTTGCTAGCTTATATCCTGATTAAAACAGTGGAAATAACGGTTTCGACAGCCGTAAGGTCTGATCCGGACTCTTAAGCCACCGAGACCTTGAGAAAAACGAGGCCCACATCCTCGACAAAGTCGCGTCACTTGGCATTCGAAGGTCACAGACTGTATTAATGTTGCTTATATACAATTGGGCAATGTTTAAAGAATGTTCACCTTGTGCTTTTGAAAACGTTTTCAAATATCTAAAACTCTCACTACTTTAGCTAGGCCTTGTTATAAACTACTTTGAAGAAATGACCCTGAAGCGTACTTATTATAATCTGTTCTGCTGTAGATGATTATGGCTGTTTTATAGGTATCTGTCTCTATATTTATCAACTGTTTATTAATATGTGGACACATATGCATATACACTGAATGTGTGATTGGTTATTTCTGTTCTTATCATAGTACTTTAAAAATGGCCCTGTATAAAACATAGCTTATCTAGTTGGTCATCAGGCCTTATTTGACCTGACGAACCCAACTGGACATGGTGTGATATCTTAATACAAACTGTTAGTTGGTCATCGGGTCATGCTTGACCTGAAAAACCCAACAGGACATGGTGTGACATCGTAATGAGAACTGTTGGTTGGTCATCGGCCATGACTGGCCTGATGAACCCAACTGGACATGGTGTGACATCGTAATGCAAACTGTTAGTTGGTCATCGGGCCATGCTTGACCTGACGAACCCAATAGGACAGGGTGTGACATCGTAATGCAAACTGTTAGTTGGTCATCGGCCATGATTGACCTGACGAACCCAACAGGATATGGTGTGACATCATAATGCAAACTGTTAGTTGGTCATCGGCCATGATTGACCTTACGAACCCAACAGGACATGGTGTGACATCATAATGCGAACCGTTAGTTGATCAACAAGCCTTGCTTGACCTGATGAACTCAACAGGACATGGTGTGACATCATAATGCGAACTGTTAGGTGATCAACAAGTCTTGTTTGACCTGACGAACCCAACAGGACATGGTGTGACATCATAATGCGAACTGTTAGGTGATCAACAAGTCTTCTTTGACCTGACGAACCCAACAGGACAGGGTGTGACATCGTAATGCAAACTGTTAGTTGATCAACAAGTCTTGCTTGACCTGATGAACTCAACTGGTCATGGTGTGACATTTTTGTTTTCTAGGTCTCTTATTTCTGTAGCCAAACTCCATAATCATTCATCTTACAAGTAAAACTTACCTCTCACAGTTATTTTTGGGGCAAAATCAAAGTTCGTTGTAAACTTGATCACCCCATCATGTACCTAAAAGTTATCTCGTGCCCGTTTAAAATAGTGTCATCTCCCGTAACAACTTCTCCTTTGTAGTAAAGAGATAAGAAAATAAGAGACAATACCAGAAAGTCCAAGATAAATTTCCGTTAACAGTCCGAAATTTAGTTGGTGTAAAAGAAAATAACAGACAATACCCGAAAGTCCAGGATAAGTTTCCGTTAACAATCCAAATCAAAAAGGTATAAAAAAATAAGAGATTATACCCGAAAGTCCAAGATAAATTCCCGTTAACACTCCTAATTATGATACCATATGTTGGTTAAATTTTAGTAACGATTTGCTGTAAGACTTAATAGTATGTTTCAAAGCCTAGAGTGTCAGGCCTAAAGACTTAATAGCATGTTTCAAAGCCTAGAGTGTCAGGCCTAAAGACTAAATAGTATGTTTCAAAGCCTAGAGTGTCAGGCCTAAAGACTTAATAGTATGTTTCAAAGCTTAGAGTGTCAGGCCTAAAGACTTAATAGTATGTTTCAAAGCCTAGAGTGTCAGGCCTATTTTTCTTAGCAATATGGGATTTGCGCAGTCACGAAACTCGGGTTCGAAACTATTATACTTTATTAGATAACACTCAATTCATTCTAACATACATAACTTATTCTCGTCCACTTGGTGGCTCAGAAGTATGCTTGTAGGCTTATAACGTTAAATCCGACGATTATTTGTTTTTAAGCACAAAGCTCCATGACCTATTTGTGCCCTGCCCACCACGGGTATCGAAACACATTGCAAGTCCTCAAACTTACTGCTGAGCCATCGAAAGCAATTCGGGTTTGATCCCCGTGATGGGCACAGTACAAATAGCCCGCTTGCACTTAACAACAAACTAACAAAGAACTTTGTTACTCTCCTCATTTTTAAGTTGGTGTGTTTAGAATTTCGATAAACAAAATATATTTTGGTGTGTCTTTTTTTTTTTCGTTAATTAAGTTTCTTGTGTTTACGATCTATAAAACAGCCAAACCGAACTACCTACCGGTTAATTAACATAAGTTGTTGTTTTCCAGACCTTGATACTTTTGATAATTCGAGTAAAAATAGCAAAAATAATTAACTGGTGTTAAAAATAAATAACATTTTCTTATTAATTATTACCGTAAATGACTCATATAAAACTTATAATAGCTTTTAGGCTTAAGACTTGAATACTCTACAGGTGCAAAACATAGAGGGCCTGGGTAATCTGTGTGCATTAAAAATTAAACAAATAAACTAAAAATAACATGGTGATAATCCAAACAAGTTACATAATACAAAATTAATAATAATTAATTTTAGCTAACTTAATGTAGTTCACACCGTAACGGTTGTTGTTCACGTGACTGGTGATATAAACAGCGTTTAGGCCACTATTACCTTTGTTGGATCCCAGCCGGCCTGATGAGCCCTACTACTAACCGAAAGGTCTCGTTAGCACTGGATATTACAGATGTAGTATAGGTGACATAGTATTGCATGTTTTTCTTTGTTTTAACTCGTAAGTTCTTACAATTTTAGAAAACGAAACGTTTTATTTCTGTTTACATCTCGAACCTTACGCTCCAACATACGAAACGTTTTATATCTGTTTACACTTCAAACCTTTTGTTCCGGCATACGAAACGTTTTATATCTGTTTATACTTCGAACCTTTTGCTCCAGCATACGAAACGTTTGTTTGTATTTACACTTCGAACCTTTCGCTCCAGCATACGTAACGTTTGTTTGTGTTTACACTTCGAACCTTTCTTCAGCATACGAAATGTATCTTTTTTTCCACTTCGAACCTTTTGCTCCAGCATACGAAACGTTAGTTTGTGTTTACACTTCGAACCTTTCGCTTCAGCATACGAAACGTTAGTTTGTGTTTACACTTCGAACTTTTTGCTCCAGCATACGAAACGTTAGTTTGTGTTTACACTTCGAACCTTTCGCTCCAGCATACGAAACGTTAGTTTGTGTTTACACTTCGAACCTTTCGCTTCAGCATACGAAACGTTAGTTTGTGTTTACACTTCGAACCTTTCGCTTCAGCATACGAAACGTTAGTTTGTGTTTACACTTCGAACCTTTTGCTCCAGCATACGAAACGTTAATTTGTGTTTACACTTCGAACCTTTTGCTCCAGCATACGAAATGTATGTTTTTTACACCTTTAAAATTCGCTAGTGTTAGTCTACTCGAGTAACTTGTCGGTTACTTCTGTTCAGTCGGTTGATCATGAAGTACTGACATCGAACTATCGGTAATTGTCAAAGAATCATACTGACATCGAACTATCGGTCATTGTCAAAGAATCATACTGACATCGAACTATCGGTAATTGTCAAAGAATCATACTGACATCCAACTATCGGTCACTCACTGTCAAAGAATCATACTGATATCGAACTATCGGTCATTGTCAAAGAATTAAACTGACATCGAATTATCGGTCATTGTCAAAGAATCATACTGATATCGAACTATCGGTCATTGTCAAAGAATCATACTGACATCGAACTATCGGTCATTGTCAAAGAATCATACTGACATCCAACTATCGGTCATTGTCAAAGAATGAAACTGACATCGAATTATCGGTCATTGTCAAAGAATCATACTGACATTGAACTATCGGTAATTGTCAAAGAATCATACTGACATCGAACCAGTGTCGTAGCCAGGACGCACACATTGAGGGCGCAATGACAAACTCAAAGGGCGCGAGTACACTGTAATCATTTTCAGTTTTTGTTACAAATTTTTGTCATAATTTATTGATGTTCCTTATTAATTCACTCATAAAAAATCTTTGATATCTGACTTAAGTTAGGTATGAACTAGTAGGTTAATCAAAACAGAAAGCATGAGTCAGTCTTAGGGAAAGTTAAGATTGGACCCTTGTAATTAATTAAAGCAATGTAAACCACGTCCAAATTTTGTTATTAAAACAACTGAAAACCCTTGTAATTAATTAAAGCAATGTAAACCAAGTCCAAATTGTGTTATTAAAACAACTGTAAAACAATTG